GGAAAGGATCGATAATGCTGACTACGATCGACTCCTTAACAGAGTGGGTTCTATAACCTTGGGTGGCAATCGGTCTAGGAGAATGAAAACTCTCAATTCCAAACGTATGTAGCCTGACGAAGCACCTATTATTGCAGCTAAGGAAAAGATCGTTCGTATTGGCTCGACGATACTGACTACGACCGACTCCTTAACAGACTGGGTTCTATAGCCTTGTGTAGCAATCGGTCTAGGAGAAGGAAAACTTTGAATTCAAAACTGTATGTAGCCCTAGCGAAGCACATACGATGGCACCTAAAGAAAGGATCGTTCGCATTGACTCGATGACCCTGACTACGGTCAATAACTCTCTTTACTATATTGTTACTAATCTTCAGTAACCCCCTCTAGCGTCTTAGTGACTTTGTCGACTTGCTTGGGGCGAAAGGATTAAGAAAAAATATTTTTAACTATACTACATCAGCCTTTGGTAGCAACTGGTCTAGGAGAACGAAAACTTTGAATTCAAATCGGTATGTAGCCCTGGGGAAGCACATAGTATGAAGCTAAAGAAATGATCTACCAGAGCTAGAGGGCACAGTCTCTCAGGAATGAACACATAACTTGGAGAAGTACAGATTCTAGTAGAGGATATTTTGCAGTACAAATGAAATTTTTAAGGCGCATAATGAGGACAGTTTTAAGGCAAGATGCACAGAGGAAACAAAACAACGCATGCGTGGAGGAGAAAGATTTTGCAGAGTTAACAAAAGACTAAATTTGTTAAGAGGTATAAAGGACAGGTAATCGTGGGGATCCATAATCGCCGACTTCATAAAAGGAGAAAGAAATGAATACAACGAACTCGGCCGTAATTCTCTTCTTGAGCAACTAACCATTATTCTACCCGTAGATCCACCCTGTTCTTTTTTTAACATTTGCCATGGAAATAGCGGTAGAGTAGCGAAAGGAGGGAATCAGTATGATTCGACTCCGTGTCGTTCCTTAGGTGTAAATGTTTAAACTGGTGGAACTAAAGAATGAAACTCATCTGAACATTTGTCATGGAAATAGCGATAGGCTTGCAAGGTTGCGTCTGTGGGGAAAGAATCTGTAAAATTGAAAGGTAAACCTATTTCCTTCAAGACCGTATAAACGATTTTGAATCAAGACTGGAACGTGTGGGTTGACCAGCTCCAGCTCAAATATGGTAGCGATAATGCAATTTTGTTCTAACCTGACTCTAGTAAAGATAATGGCGTATTCCAGATATTTTAAGACTTTTTTAAAAATTGGGGCAGTTATAACTACGCTAGATTATTGTAAGTTTAGTATATCATTACTATACAGGATGGTACGAATATCTGATCACCTCCCCCACTGCGAAAAAGTAAAGAAAACAATAGTAATCCTTTAATACAAAGCCCATGTTTATTCACTTTCATTGACGCTGTTTGTGACAGAGAGAGTTTGGGAAACACACACACACACACGTATAATTTTTTTTTAGGGAAATTAGGAGTAGATTTGAATAGTGAAATTAAATCAGAGCATTTTGTTTACTGATCTGGAAATTTGATCTTGGGCAGAAGTTGTACCTATTGAATCTGGGTCATCAGCAAACAATGAAAATGGTCGAAATAATTTTTATCGATTAAAAATTGAAATAGAGCCGAGTAAGCTAGAAGGAACTTTAGAATTCACATGATTTTGGTTGAAGCAGCCATAACCCTGTGATAATCGCGTGCGGAGAAGTAGGGCCAAGGTTCAGTTATAACCAGCTGGATTTTTCTGTATAAACGCGCAGTTATACAGACGGAAGAGACAGACGGAAGAGGCAGGCGGAAGAGAATTAGCCGGGGCAAGAGTTGGGCTTGAGACAGTGGAGAGTCGAGTTGGAAACTCAAAAAGGAGAGGACATGACGTCAGAGATTGGAACGAAGCGTCCGCTAACATGCACTGTTGATATAAGTACGGCTGCTTCTGCTACCACTAAATATTACTACTACTGTTACTACTGCTAAGGAGGAACGCCACTATAAACTTTAAGCCGCGCACAGAAATCTTATTCCCCCATCGCAAGAGTCGTATATCGTTCTGAGACGATTTAATAAGTTAATCATAACACATACTCTCTCTCTCTCTCTCTCTCTCTCTCTCTCTCTCTCTCCAGAATCCAGTGTATGCTTTTTTACGTCAATTACTTTTCTTTTCTGTAACCCGTTTCTTTTCTATACTATTCTTTTTCTGCTATATAAAAGACATATACATCTGCAGAAAGCCGGACAAATAATTATTCAATAATTGAGTTGTTAATTTTTCTTTTGGTGCATCATTTCTGCTTTCTGGATCAAACCAAACACAACGTGGGCAGGAAGCAGGATTAAACCAGTGGACCGGTCGAATAATCTACAGATGCCCAGGGGACTTACGGCCACTCCCTTAACTTCGGTTAGGACCGAGTAGACACCTCATCCCAGAGAGTAAGACGTCAGAGAATGAGGGCTGGGGCGAATGTATTAGATGTTGCCCATCGAAAAGTTTTGCGTGTGCGTGAACGCCATAATTTTCGTGTCAGACCTCTGAAATAGAAATTTATATTATGTGGCAGCGACAAGACTTTCGGACCATGCTATATAATCGTAACAACCAACTTTTGTTATCCCAGACAGAAGAAGACGGCGGTAAGAGATCTTCGAACAAAACCTTGTAAACACTTCTTGTCACAGCTAACTTGTTTACAGAAAGCAGTCGGGACGTGAAGACAATTTGAAAGCTCGCTATGCAATAAAGTTTCTGTTGGCATCAAAACTGTTCCTCACCATCCATACAGTCTAGGCCAATGATTCCCAACGTGGGACGCATGTCCCACCAGACGGACATGGTAACATTTTGGTGGAGCAGACGTAGGATGTGCACCCTCGGGTTACTATACCAACATGATAAGAGGGCAGTTCGAGAATGAGTTATTAAAAGTAAATAGTTTTCTAATGAGTCTGAGTGAGAGTGTTAATGTTAATGCGAGTTCATACATACGATGCATGTACAGTATGAATACATAAAAAATATTTTGTGTGTATGTACGTATATGTGTAATTGACATACTGGGTATTTCCCGTCTTCTCACACTTGCGTGTCTCGGTCAACAAAGGAGAGGGCGTGATGCATGTGGCTGGAAGAGCCCATATTTTGTCGGCCAATCAGCGCGTGTGAGCATTCAGTGAGCATTACGGGGGGAGGGTACCGGAATGTTAGATATACCAAAGTATATATATAATATATTTTCTGCTTATACGTTATAATTTATTTATGTTAATGCTCAGTATTAATTACACAGTATTAATTACATTTACATAAAAATATTTTGTGTGTATGTACGTATATGTGTAATTGACATACTCGGTATTTCCCGTCTCCCCACACTACCGTGTATCGGTCAGCAAAAGAGAGGGGATGATGCATGTGGCTGGAAGAGCCCATATTTTGTCGGCCAATCAGCGCGTGTGAGCATTCAGTTTGCTTCCTTCACGTGAAGTGCAGTAAAATTTTGAATATGTAAGAATTAAATATTACAGGAGGGGAGTGGCAACAGAATTTTAGAAATACCAAAGTGGGGCATGGCCCAAAATCGGTTGGGAAGCACTGTCTAGACCTTGGTCCCTATGACTTTTTATTGCTCTGACAAGCTAAAGGAGAATCTCAGGTGTAGTCCTTTTGAAGACAGTTAGAAGGAAACCTTCACTTTGGATTATTTCCATGGGACCTTCATGAAGTGGCTGGAGCACGGCAATAAGTGCATTGAAATCAGAGGATCCTACTTTGAGAGAGATTAGAATGTTGTACTTAAAATTGAAATTAATAAATGTGTCTCCTGAAGAAGTCTCAAAACTTCTGGAAGATACCTTGAAACGTAGAATTTGAAAAGCTGTTTTTATTAAATAAATATAAATGTTTCTCCTAAAAAATGTCTGAAAAACTACTTCTGGAATACACCTTATACATCACTTGTGTATAAAGTATTAGATTTATTTTTTCTATTTTGAAAATGTAGGGTGTTTCAAAAGTCTGTGACATTCTAAGAATTCTTATGTCATGAACTACAAATGGTTGCATGATTGAACTGGTACTATTTAATTTAATTTTAATTAATTAAATTTAATTTTTTTTTTTTTTTTGTCTCTTTTCAGATCATTCGCAAAACAAGAGAAGTCATTTTGTGTCCTAGAATATGCTAAAACTGAATCATGGACTCATGTTCAACGCAAATTTCGTACAACGTTTACCAAGAAGTCACCAGACAGACGTTCCATTTCGAATTGGCATGCAAAATTTAAGAGGGAATGGGATGCTTGTGCTTGGCAAAGAGAACAGGACGCCTCTCAACTTCAGTTGATATGGTTGAACAAGTTTGGCAAGCCTTCCAGTAGAACCTTTAGGGGGTAATTGTTTTGTTGACATTGAGAAGGTGAAAGAGGCCGTGATAAGGGTTCTGGACACCTTCACTGTAGAGGATTTCCATGGGGACCTTCACGAAGTGTCTGGAGTGCTACAACAAGTCTGTTGACGTTTGAAATTAATAAATGCCTCTCCTGAAGAAGTCTCAAAACTTCCGGAAGATACCTCGAAAGGTAGAATTTGAGAAGTTGTTTTTTATTATATAATTTACCCTATATTATATTATAACATGTCGTGCACGAAAGAAATGATCATCAACATTTTAAAACATGTCCATCTGCTTCAAATCCAACGCCATGGATAATTCTCTCACATGAAGAAACGGCTACACAGCACAGCAAAGAAAACAGACTTGTCCCGTACAACGCCGAGTATCGTTGCTGGTATACATATATAGCATTACCGAGGACGATCTTTAGTGGGCGGTAACATGATCGTATCTAACTGAAGATAAATGAAACCAAGTATACACGTTGAGTAATAATAATAATGATGATGATGATGGCGGCGGCGGTGGAGAGCAGAGATGACCTTGACGGCGAAGCAGCGATGCTAGCTTAAGGTGCTTACGTATAATATATTACTGACTTATTGTCGGCTATGACCTGGTCGTTGCGGTTAGGCTTGGGAGTCCCGCTAGACGGCGCTGCAGTCCGTGTGATGGATGGGCGCCTGCCATCTAAGCAGCTTCCAGCCCGTCGACCGCTGACAGAAGACTGGCATTAAACACATACGGCGATGAAAAATTAACACAATCCATTCCCTATCGAAGACAAACGAGAACAATAAACTGGGTATTAAAAATTACTTGCTTTAATTGATATGCAAAAGCTCCATCAATCATGCATGATAAATTTTTCTGACACTGGGCGAAGGCTTTCCTGTTGGGGGTGGAGATTAGTTTGCCGGGGACGGTGGCAGGAGTAGTGGGAGCAGGATTTAAAGAGGCTGCAATAAAATGAAACGAGAGTCGTAACGCAGAAAAAAAAAGGAGAAATAATAAGAGGTAAAAGAGAAAGAGAGATTAACACAATACTGTCGAAAGACAAGCGCGTTCTGTTTCTACAGAATTATTTTTTTAGGATTCTTCTTTTTCTTCTTCGTCTTCTTCCTTCTCAAATTATTCATTCATCATTCTTTCTCTCTTTCTCTATCTCTCTCTCTCTTTCTCTCTCTATTGTTGATATTTATTTCCTATCTGGGCAAGCCTCTTTTCGCCTTTCGTCACGCATTTTCTCTACCTGCTTTCGAAGCTCTGTTTTGCGCGGCGGAACGCTCGGGTTGTAAGCTCTGCCTCTTATTTCCAGCGGCAACGGTTTGTTGTTCGAATCGAATGTAGCAAAATGTCAAAATGTTGCAGGCAGATTTTCAATGAGTGCAGCCTCTCGCCAGACGGAAATCTGGTCTAAGAAAATTCATCGCCATTGTGCTTCATTAGTCCAAACATACACGCACATGTACATATATATATATACACACACACACATACATACAAAGAGACATACGAACAAGCAGGTATACAGAGACACGAACAAGCAGATAGATAGATAGATAGATAGATAGATAGATAGATAGATAGATAGATAGAATTGCTGAGATAGATAGTGTATAGGCTTAGATAGATAGATAGATAGATAGATAGATAGATAGATAGATAGCGTATTGCTGAGATAGATAGTGTATAGGCTTAGATAGATAGATAGATAGATAGATGGATGGATGGATAGATAGATGGAGAGATGTATAGGGTGTAGATAGATAGATAGATAGATAGATAGATAGATAGTGTATAGGCTTCGATAGATAGATAGATAGATAGATAGATAGATAGATAGATAAGAATAAGAATAAGATATATATAGAGAGAGAGAAAGAGAGGGAAGGGGAGAAGTGAAAGGAGGAGAGATACACAAGTAGTGAAACTGTTAACGGTCCGAAACGAGAAATTGATTATTGGTATTCTCATTTCAATCGAGTACATTGCATTCACTTTCGCACCTTCACCAACATGCACTAGATATGATATGAATCTCTCTCTCCGTATATATATATATATATATATATATATATATATAGGAGAAAATATACGGAAAAACAAACAAAAATCCTAATATGCAATTATGCTGTTTTAATGTTAATATAATGTCAGCGTCGGACGTTTCGGTCTAATATTGAATATAGTCTAATGTTAATTATGTTTTATGAATATGTCCTGAAGATGGTCTATTAGACCGAAACATCCGACGTTGACATTATATTAACATTAAAATAGCATAATTGCATATTAGGATTTTTATTTTGTTTTTCCGTATATTTTCTTTCATACTGTCGGATCTATATCCATATATTTGCTTACATATATATATATATATATATATATATATATATATATATATATATATATGTGTGTGTGTGTGTGTGTGTGTGTGTGTGTGTGTGTGTGTATGTGTGTATCGGGGGAGAGAGACAGAGATGAGGATAGAGAAAATTAATGTAATGTTTGTGTTGAAGCTTCCGGTGCGAATGCTATGCAGTTCTGCATGCAGTTTTCAAATTCCTGTCGGAGTGAATTACGCCATAGGGCTCTTTTTCACGGAGACTGTTCCAAATTGATAATATCAAAAACAAACAACGCGCATGCGCTTAATTAAAAAAAAATGTAAAATGGCAACGTGATTTACCCATCGCACCCTGTACGTTTTTTTTTTTTTTTTTTTTTTAAGTTGACATGTCGAATCCTGTAAAAAAACATTTTAACAAGCAGAATAAGCACGAAGGTGTCGACACGAGGAACCGAATATATCTTGAGCTCCCCATATGTCAACAGAAAAAAAAATAAAAACATAAAAAAAATATCTTGGCTATCGATTTTTTATATAAGAAGCATATATTGATATTTACTATCTACCAACAGACAGACAGACATATACACACGCCCAAACACTATATATATATATATATATATATATATATATAGAGAGAGAGAGAGAGAGAGAGAGAGAGAGAGAGAGAGAGAAATATATATGTGTGTGTGTGTGTGTGTGTGTGTGTGTGTGTGTGTGAAAATGTTTATATGTTTGTGTTAGTGTGTTTATGTGTGTGTGTTGGACTCTTCCTAGGAACCGACAGTCAGACATCTGCACAAATGATTTGATTATAGTGCTGGACCAACCACAGTTTTATGAAAAGCCAAGTACACAGACCTGGGAACATGGTCCCCAAACATTCATAGTTGTCCTTCTCCTAGATCAGTTTATATATATATATATATATATATATATATATATATATATACTTTTATTATATATATATAAGAAAAGTGTATGTATGTATGTAAATATAAATATATATATATATATGTGTGTGTGTGTGTGTGTGTGTGTGTGTGTGTGTGTGTGTGTGTGTAATATATTATATATATTATTTATATATTATATGTGCGGTACTAATTGAAAAGCGTTCAATATCCGAGATAGAACTAACATATTTAATTGTATTGATGTAAGCTTGTGACCCTAGGTTTTTGCGATCGTCAGTTTTTCTGACTGATCCAACTACATATATATATATATGTATATATATGCAAGACTATTCAGTAAAGTGAATTGAGTTCTCTCAGTCACTGTGTGTTTATCTAAAAAAAAATAAAATACGCTTAAACTCACTTAAGTGGCTTTGGGGTAGAATATCTGACTGATGCCAATTCAGCCGGATTTCGAACCTAGCTAGAGGCAACCGGACATCTAGCCACACTGATGAGCTGTGATACAGCGAAACAGTCTGTCTCTGATGACAATAATATATATATATATATATATATATATATATATATATATATATATATATATATATATATATAAAGATGATGAGACAAAGTGGAAAATGTATTAACGACGCTTTTCGCCATTGCGTCTATTATCTTTGGCTTCTTCAAGACAGAATGAAAGAAAAACGAAATTGTCTGTGAAGGAAATGTTTGGGGATATTTAAGGATAGATAGTAACTATAAATCAAATTGAATATATTATCGCTTCCAATATCCTGAATCAAGAGAGTGTCTGTCCCCTTGTTTTAAATTTTTAACCCGCCTCCATTTAACCTACTTTTACAGTATTCAAATTTTCCCTGTCAAATGCTAAAAAAGCTTTTAATTTTTATTTTTCCTTTCCTTATTTTCATTTTTTTGAAACTCTATTCAAATAAATAGTCGAGTCTAACAACGCAAAATGTATATATGTTTCTTTATTTTCATTGGCCTTAAGATTTTAACCAGGAATCTATATAATTTGATTTTTATACATATTCCTTGGTTTCAATATCTCTGAGTCTGTATCTATCGAGCCTAGATTTACTCATTAAGAGGGAAAAAAATAATGATCAATAAAATCGTCTTCGTTCTAAAGTTTCTCGTATATTTTTTTTCTTTCGTTTTACGTTCGCAAGAGAAAAATGAATCAATCAGATAACTTAATAACTGTCCGTATGTCATTTCTTTGCATAAAACTTTCGACAAACATACGGAACTGTCTTAGAAATAATTACACAAATACATGATCTCTGCTAGGCAGTTACGCACAAGTCGATAATTGTATATAAAAGATCTAACGCCAGAACTCATAACGACCTACAGACATCACGACGGCATTTATTATCTGGTAGAAAGACATCCGGGTTTTTTGGGTTTTTTTTTTTTACAATTACACAACGTTGGAGAAATTATTTGCTTAGATTTTGCAAGCTATTAAATACTCAGAAAATAGGTTCAGCTCAGTGATTCTTAGATAGTGCTATAGAAACACGGTGTTGTGCCAATGTTGCATACCCTACCTCTCTTCTGGGGAAATGTTGGCCACTGCGCCAAATAGGCAAAATGCTGTATACTCCTGCAATCTCCTGGTTGACGATCGATTCCACTGCAAAGCTACATCTCTTCTCTCTAGGTCGTCTTCTCCTGGACGTGTGTCGAAATGTTTTGGGGTTCGGAGTTAAAATGAGAACAACAAAACGAATTTTAAAATTATCTATTTTATTAAACGCATCGACATGTACATTTTTAACTAGCCAGGGCTCGCTCTGTCACTTTCTAACTTTAACATTCCCACGTTCAGCTCAGCCAATCAAAATCGACATCCCTGTTTTGTCTACCATCTGACCTTAAGGTCAGCCTCAGAAGGTCTAAACTTATCTATTTTATTAAACACGTCGACGTGTACATTTTTAACTAGCCAGGGCTCGCTCTGTCACCCCCACCACTGGGTGAGGAGTTTCCATATACGAAAATAACACGTCTGCATTCTTCGGTGTGTAAAACTTGACCCCACGAAAACACTTTCTAACTTTAACATTCCCACGTTCAGCTCAGCCAATCAAAATTGAAATCCCTGTTTTGTCTACCATCTGACCTTAAGGTCAGCCCCAGAAGGTCTAAACTTATCTATTTTATTAAACACGTCGACGTGTACATTTTCAACTAGTCAGGGCTCGCTCTGTCACCCCCACCCCTGGGTGAAGGGTTTCCATACACAAAAATAACACATCTGCATTCTTCGATATGTAAAACTTAACTCCACGAAAACACTTTCTAACTCTAATATTTCCACGTTCAGCTCAACCAATCAAAATCGACATCCCTGTTTTGTCTACCATCTGACCTTAGGTCAGCCTCAGAAGATCTGAGTCAAATCCACTGCCACCCAAACATTTAGCCCCAACCAATATATCAATAAATGAAATCAAAATGTCTGAAGGATATCCATGGATAAGAACAAATATTAAAGTGCATATAATTGGAATATAAACTGGAACATTCTAGAGATATGAACAATGAGTATCCAAAAATTTTAGAGAGTTCTACTATTTAACCCATAGCTGGGAATAGAAGCTAGACAGATAATATTACCAATAGGATTAGTGCATAAACCAATGTAACGTTCTCGATTAATTTGAAATCTGATCAGCTATTTCTCATTCCAAGCCGATATATAATGCACTATCTAGTTTCATTTATAAAATTTTATGGTACAGTATAATCCCTCATATCCGGAATCCCACAAATCTAGAGTACCTCATATTTGGAACCTCGTATATCCGGACATGATTTTGATGTGTATATATGAACTATTTGGGTGATATTGTAACTGATTTGAAATTTCGGTTTTTCATTAAATTTACTTTGAAGAATTGCTTACGCTTATTTCACTCTAATGGCTTCTATTGGTGCAAAAGATGATCGGAATACGAGGGAAGGATGACAACGAGACACATCTGCAAAAAGATAGCGACGAGATGCATTATTGGGATGAAACCTCGACTGAAATTGAAAAATCTATTGAAAAGGTTGTCAGTTTTATGGAAAGAAAGCTAACATTCAGCTATGACGATTGCAATAATGCATGCAGAGTTAAAAAGTGTCTTTCGTTTAAAAAATTTCAAGAACAAAAGCAAAACGAAATGCAGGAAAAGTTAAGAATGACATTAGAAGAGAAAGAATCATCATGCAACAGCGATTAAAAAATCCTCCTTACATTATTTGTTTTGCATACGTGGCATACTTAATTTAATGAATTTTCAGTAACATTACATAATTTATTTCTTTTTCCTTAAAATCAGTTCCGTTATATTTCACTCACTATTGGCTTATTTTGTTTATTATAAAGCATTGAAAATAAATGTTAAACCTGATTTCAGTTCTTTTATGTTAATCTAAATATAACCCCTCATATCCGGACTTTGTAACCAATCCCTCATATCCGGAATCCCTCATATCCGGAAGGCCTTCTTAGTCCGGTTGACAGGGATTCTACTGTATTGTTTTTATTTATTATTAATTTTTATCTAAGTTATGAATTTTTTCATAACTGATAATATAAAAATTAATAATAAAATACCATAAAATAAAATTTCACATAAGGTAAGCGTAAAAATTATGGTTAACACTCTTTTAAAATTTAACTCATTCTTAGTTATGAAATTTTCAGTTTATTTTATTGTTAATATTTTAAATTTTATTT